TTGTATGCCTCTTTCTTGCATAGTATTTTAGGCCTATTTGTAAACTGTTTTGAGCTTGGTTATAAGACATGATCCACAAAGAGGTTGAGGTGTACGTGGACGACATGATTGTCAAGTCCAAAGAAAGAGAGGGCCACTACACCGCGTTGCAAAAGTTCTTGCAAAGGATCAGGGAATTCCGGTTGCGGCTAAATCCTCCGAAGTGTACGTTCGGTGTTACAGCGGGAAAAATGCTGGGGTTCGAAAATCAAGGCCATCTTAGAAATGCCACCACCAAGGACTGAAAAGGAGGTGCGAGGCTTTCTGGGTAAAGTGCAATTCATAAGACGGTTTATCTCAAAATTAACCTTGACTTGTGAACCACTTTTTGGTCTCCTGAAGAAAGGCAAGAAATTCCAATGGGACGGCCGATGCCAAGCTTCTTTTGAACAGATCAAGGAATACTTGCAGAACCCACCCGTGTTGTCACCACCAGAGCCAAGGAGACCGTTGATATTGTACCTTTCAGTGACCGAGACCACAATGGGCTGTATGCTCGCGCAAGAATCAGAGGACAAGGTGGAGAGAGCCATCTACTATCTGAGCAAGAAGACGCTATACGCCGTTGGAGGAGGCTTGCTTAGCTTTGGTATGGGCTACCAGGAAGCTGCGGCACTACCTATTAGCTCACTCCGTAATGTTGGTGTCACGACTCGATCCCATCAAATATCTTTTCGAGAAACCGGCACTTACAGGTAGGCCTGCTCGTTGGTTGCTGTTGCTCTCCGAATTTGACCTGAAATATGTGGCACGCAAGTCAGTCAAGGGAAGAGTAGTGGCAGAGTTCTTAGCCGATCATCCAGTGGAAGGAGGTGAAGCAGTTGAATACTTATTCCCAGATGAAGCCATTTTGCACATCGACGACGAGTATTGGACGATGTACTTTGACGGAGCGTCAAATCAGTACGGGTATGGGATATGAGTGTTGCTGATAGCACTCGATAATTCCCGTATCCCGCTAGCCTTCAAACTCCAGTTCAAAGTCTCGAACAACGAAGCAGAATATGAGGCATGCATTACCGGTCTAGAAGCGGCCCTGGAACTAGGAGCAAGACGGTTGGACGTCATCGAGGACTCGAACCTTGTTGTGTCTCAAGCAAAAGGAGACTGGAAAGTCAAAGAAGAAAAGATGATGATGTATCACCAGACCTTGGACTTGTTAATTCCTAGGTTTGAGAAGCTAAACTTTGCTCATTTTCCAAAAGAGAACAACAGGTTCGCAGATTCTTTAGCAACTCTATCTTCCATGATAGACATCCCGTTTGGAGTCCGGATGCGTCCAGTCATCATTGACCATAAATTTGCGCCAGCCTATGAGTCGATTGCTGCTATAGATGAGGTTCAGGACGAAAACCCCTGGTATTATGACATTTGGAATTTCTTGGAGAAGGAAGCATATCTGCCAGGGGTAAATGCCAAGGATAAAAGGGCAATCAGAAGAATGGCCGTTCAATTCATCATCTATGGAGGTAAGCTGTATAAGAGAGGTCATCTGGGAATGCATAAACTGTGTGTTGAAGTCGAGGAATCGAAGCGCCTGATGGAGGCCATCCATGGAGGAGAATGCAATGCACATGGGAACGGAGTAATGCTAGCACGGAAGATCCTTAGACAGGGTTACTACTGGTCCACCATGGAGGAGGATTGTATCGGTTTTGTTCGGCGATGCCACAAGTGTCAGATTCATGCAAATCGCATGAATATCCCGCCCTCAAAGCTGTACAACATGACTTCGCCATGGCCATTTTCAGTTTGAGAAATCGATGTGATCGGGGCTGTCACTCCGAAAGGGTCGAATGGGCATGAGTTCATCCTGGCCGCGATAGATTATTTCACGAAGTGGGTCGAGGCCCAATCGTATACGGTGTTAAAGGCGTCGCACGTTGCAAAATTTATCAGAAACAACATCATCTGCCGCTACAGGGTCCCAAACGAGGTCATTTTAAATAATGGTTTCCACTTTAAGAAGGAAGTGATTGACTTGTTGGAGAAATACAACGTGGCTTTCCATAAGTCATCCACATACCGACCGCAAACCAACAGAGCGGTCGAGGCCGCCAACAAGAATATCAAACACATACTGCAGAAGATGGTGGAAACCTACCGGGATTGGCCAGATAAGCTGCCATTTGCTCTGTGGGGCTACCAGACGTCAATTAGAACTTCTACCGGAGCGACTCCGTATTCATTGGTTTATGGGATGGAGGCCGTTCTACCTATCGAGATTGAGGTTCCGTCATTGCGAGTATTGGCTGAATGTCAAATAGCCGAAGCAGATTGACAGCAGAGCAGGTTTGAGGAACTCATGCTCTTTGATGAGAGAAGACAGAAAGCACTGTACCATGTTCAAGGCTATCAGCGCAGAATTGCCCGGGCTTTCAACAAGAGAGTTAAGTCCAAGAATCTAAAGGAAGGAGATTTGGTGCTCAAGGACAACCGAGCTCCCATCCACGACCCAAGGGGCAAGTTCAAACCCAATTGGACTGGTCCCTACATCATTAAAGTTATCTGGTCAGGTGGAGCTGTGGTTATGATGAATCTAGATGGCCTAGAGTTCTCCCAACCGATCAACATGGACAAGTTGAAGAAATATTACCCCTGAGAGGCTCGCTAGGCCGAAAACCCGAAAGGGCGACCTAGGCAAAAGTTAGAGCACAAAGAATTAGAAAATATAAAAACTGAGCTCGCAAGGTTGAAAACCCGCAAAGGGCGACCTTGGCAAAAGGTAGAGCGTAAAAGGAGAGTGAAAATACTCGAGTGAACCTAAGCCTGAACTACGTAAGGCTTGATTCCCATCTTCGGAATACGTAGGCAACTTCATCCTAAAGTTCAGCCATAAACTTTTCCCCGATCAACTTTGTCCATTTGATCATCTCAGTCATCTTTATCTATCAGCTTCCATTTGAATCTCCGGTGCAGTGCTATTCAGACTAGGGGCAACTTTCCGTTGCCAGGCAGTGCCGCGATACTCTTCAGACTTGGGGCAACTTTCCAGTTACAGAGATCCGGGGTTGTGCATCTCAGTGACAGATCTCAGGCGTGTCCAGTTCTGATCCATATCGAAAATGGTAAAATGGTTTTAAATTTTTTTAATAAAAGTTGACTTTGTTCAAATTAATCTTTCTACAACTAAGACCATTTTTGGACCAAAGTGGAAAATTTTCAGTACCACAACCTTTAATTTCATTGATTTCAATACAAAGTTCTCCTGCTCTTGCATACAATTGAAGTTGCTTTTTATTACATTCATAAAGAAAACTTGAAAGTACTAATAAAGTAATAAATCCGGGGCATAGTCAAGTCAGGTGTCCCTGCGCCCCCTCCCAGAGCTGGTCGAAGCCTCTGATGC